ACTGCAGATCTCAGTTCACTTTTGAAAATACTACAATTTTAAACTAAGGCAGATTTCCTACATGCCAGCGTTTTCATAATACTTATGGTTTCATAAATAAGTGGAAAGTAAATCATTTGCACTGTAAAGTTAGAAAGCTCAAGCCACCCAACGTCCTTGCACTGACTACCCACGAAGACAATCTTCGTCTTGTAAAATGTTCCAAGGGATCTTACAATGACAATAGTGCAGTTTTCTGAATGTGAGGAGTTATCTCCCGTCTTGACTACTCTTCACGCCTCTGTTTGAGTACAGAAGCTTAAATGTAGCGACACATTATTATTATTATTATTTTTATTATTATTATTATTATTATTATTATTATTATTATTATATTGGTTGTGTGTAATGCCTTATAGCGTATACACTCTGTGTTCAAATCAAACAGCTATACTATAACGGTAGAACGCCTTACGTTGCAGTTTCAACTTCATCTGCTCATCTCAGCCTACACAACACCCTGTCATACTTAATCAAATCACACAAAAAAGAACCTCAAAATTGTCGTTATGTAATCTCCCATATATCAAGACAAGCACATGTATAAAACACCTTTATCACACGCATTAACTTCCTCTAATTATAATAAAAAATAAGTGACTTCACCCTGAGCAAAATACCTCGATTAATTGAATGTGGGTATGCGGCGACGGGTTGACTCTAGATTAAAGCAACAAGAGTTCCCACAAAAGCATTCAATCGTATTTCTTCCATGTGCGATAAGTAGTAAGGTAAGAAAAAAGAAAGTTTACACTCTAGCCTCAAAAACGTAACTCCTATACAGAGCTGTGTAAAACGCCGATCAGTTAATTTCAAGATGAGAATGTGTTCTTTCTTCGAGGCACATTACTTTCACTGGTTAGTTCAGTTTTAAGTACGGTATTTACTAACATTAGATATCATTGAATTAATTCACGACAATGGTCTCTATACTGTAAGAAAGTTTTTGGTCTTCACGTGTGCTCCAAAATGGGCCATAGGGTGCGACGTAGGTCATCGTGTGTCTCAGTGTTCTGGTCGGTCAACCGGAGCATGGCGTACTGCACATTAAGAGACAGGGAGAGAGAGAGAGAGAGAGGGGGGGTAGAGAGGGTTTTCTTATAATGAAGTTCATCCGCCTTTGTTAATGTAGGTTTGGTCCTCTTGACGTCAGAAAACAACACAAACTGTATTGAGTCCAAGAATCAAGGCAATGTTCAAGTTGATCCCTTCATTGGTTTCAAATATATTTCAATATATATCGTAGAATATTATAAAACCAAATGGCATTTACGTATATAGAATAAAAACTGTACTAGCTTCCGACTTTGATGCAACGAGTCGGCTCTTAGAAGTACATCAAAAAGACACGAGTTTTTGCATGGTTTTCTCAGTTATCCTGTATATCCGTCTCTCTTCTAGGATAGCCCTGATAAGCAGTGTCGTAGCGGCCTGGCTCCTAAACTGTCTGTATCATGCCTAAAGGATTTGAGGGAAACATTTTTAACACTCCACAAAAAAATTGACTTAGGAAATACCACCTTCCTTGTGTAGATAGGTGTGTCCTGGGGCAGGGGCGGAAAGTCTGAGTAGCTCATGGTCCATTTGGTGGTGTTGGTCACTAGATTGTCGTACATCATGGGCTTCAGCACTGGCTCACCTTCCTCAGCACGACGCCACACGCCCCCTGGTGGTACAGATAATATTTTATATATATATAATATTCCTTTGGCAACAAGATTCTCTGTTACAAGAAATTTTTGAATGAAGGAAGCAACGTTCAAACGCACGCTGGGTCAAGAAGTTTTAATCTTACTGTCAACAGTTTTGTTACCATTATGTGGACCACATTTATTGCAGATAAAAAGCTTGTCTCTTTAGAAAGCAAAGCCACAAGTAGAATAACTCGTTCCTACTGCCCCCTGTTCGCCAAACGGCATTCGCAACCTAAAGAAAAGGATAAAAAAGAAAACATTAACCCTCTATTATAGAAACTAAATTGTCTATCAGAGAACAACAGCAAGGATTTTAGATGACCAGGAAAGCATAAATTGGTTATGGCGGTATGGATTGGTAGACTTGCCAATAGCAACTACAATTATTTGTGATTTTAAAACATTATTTTTAAACGAAGATCAGAATAGACCAGGGGGACAGACTGTCAAAAAGGATTCTGAGCACCGAAAACAAGCACATTGTCATTTTCCCTTTTGCAGTTTGACAAATACAAATCAGAGGGGAAATAACCCATACCTAAATCATCATCCATCTCATAGCCTACAGGTTGCAGCCCTTGATGCAAACACTCCTTGACGGCACACAGCCCAGCGGCTCCGGCTCCAACCACACAAACACGCTTGGTGTTAGGCGCCATGCTGGGGAGAACGAGACAGAAATCAGTTACTTTTGGGGTGTGCATGCACAAGAGTGATCCCGACATAGATGATGAAGTTGTTAAACATATAAAACTACTCGGACTATGGCTCTAAAAGTTGTACGAATAAATGAACATATTGTACAAATCTACCTGAGGTGCATTCAAACACAGATAGACTTCAATAAAAAAAAAAGCATCGGTTTAGAAATCGAAAATTTTTTTTGTTCGGTTTTTGCTGGCTTGACGATGCTACGCCGTGTTGCCCCATTAGGGGATCAGTAAGATCTTGTGATTTGTAAAACGGTTCCCTTAAATGTTGAGTTGACTTTCCCATATGTGCTACACAGAACTGGTAAGCGTCAAGTAAAGAATAGATAATATGCTTTCATTAAAAGTGCAGGTTCACAAGGAAAATTGAATTCACTACGATAATAGTTCTACACCGACCCCCCCCCTCACACACACAGACACAAGGCTCCATCTTACT